GTGGGAGGGGGACGAAACCTTGTAAACAGTATGATTATCCGATGCCCTCCTCGCTCAGGTGGAGCCTCCTTGGAGGAGTGCGAGGGAGGAGGAGGAGGAGGAGGAGGAGGAGGAGGAGGAGGAGGAGGAGGAGGAGGAGGAGGGGGAGGATGAGGAGGAGGAAAAGAAAGAGGAGAAGGAGAAGGAGGAGGAGGAGGTGAAAGAGGAGGAGGAGAAGAGCGGTCTGGGAAAACAAGAACCCCATACAGGTTGCGGTGAACAAGAATCTCACTCAGGATGTGGGGAACACGGTCCAGACCTCCAGGGAAACACGTCCCCCAGTGCAGGGTCAATTTCGATTCGAATCCCATGTTACGACGATTCGAGGCGTCCCCATGTGTTCGCGTCGTTGCTGTGCATCGTGTCGTCCTCTTCTAGACGGAGAGAGACACCTCCACAGGCGTACACTTTCGGAGGTACGAGCGAGTTCCTTGAATCGGTGCTGGACCCCCTGGCGGCGCCGATGTGCCTTCTATCCCCCGTCGAGGATCCAAATGTTTGGGCGTCTTGGGTTCCTCCTGGTCCTCCGGAGCCCTGTCGAGGCCAAGGACTTCCAGGGGCTCGCTCCCTCCTGTCCCTTTCTCTCCCCCCAGCCCTCCCTCCCCTCCAGCCTCGTCTCCTTCCCTCCCGTCGGCGGCGAGCGGGGGGGGAAAGCGAGAAGGAGGAGGCCCTCTCTCAAAAGGCGGCGGGACTGCTCAGAAGCCCTCGCGCCGTCTGAGAAGTGCTCTGCGCCTCCAGGGCAGGCTCAGAAGACTTCGCAGAAGGCGGGGGGGGGACTTCCGACCCTTCTGAGAAGGCCTCTCCTTCTCACCACGTCCACCCCCCCCCAGGCTCGCCGCCGATCCCTCCCCTCCCGCCCCCCCCCCGTTCTCGCTTGCGCGCTTCGCCTGTGCCAGGCTCCGCCCTCCGGGCAGAGGCTCCGAGCCCCCAGGGCGATCGCAAGCATGCATCGAGGGGGCGCGGGCTGGCGACGGGTGCCGCTTCCGTGGGGGAGTCGCGGCCTTCCGCCGCCGAGCACGAGGCGGCACCGGGCGCGCCTTGGGGGAGGGCACCAGGCGCCAGGCGCCGAGCACGAGGCGGCACCAGGCGCACTTTGGGGAGGGCGCCTCCCCAAAGTGCGCGGCGGCACCGGCGGCGGACTTCCGCTGCCGAGCACGGGGCGGCACCGGGCACACCTTTGGGGAGGGCGCCTCCCCCGATCCACGGACCTGGCGACCGCGCGCCAAGCCCGTACGGAGCGCTGCTCCCCCGATCCACGGACTTTGGCGACCGCGCGCCAAGCCCGTACGGATCGCTAAAGTCCGTGCCCGCGCGCCCCCGACGTCTGCGTGCCGCCCCCAAGGGCGGCGGGCGCCGCGCGAGGCCCCTCCGCGCGGCGGGCGGGGCGCGCCGAGGGCTCCCCGGGGCCGGCGCCGCGAGAGGCCGCGGCGCGCGGGAGTGAAGTCGGGCCCGTCCCTCGACGGGAGGAAGATTCAAAATAGTCCAAAAATAGTCGGAGGGTTATTTTTTTAGTATGTTTAGCCATTTGGGAGCATTTTTTGAGCATTTTTTATTTCTCGCCCCTCTACAGGAGGAA